GAAGATGAAGGGTTAAAGCCTAGAAACATTTACCTCCCTGTTGGTGTCTCATTCTGTTCTGTGCATTTTCTTCATCCATTTGCAGGTTTTCTTTGTGCTTATTTTATGGTTGTACCCTCTGTCAAAAAACTGTTTGGACCACTGCTGTGAAAGCCCTTGGACTATTTACAGTATCAATTTATCATAATGATGCTGAGATTTTCAATTTAATATGTGTAACCTTGATATTCATTTTTACTTATTTTTGTTTATGTATGTACATATTGTATCATAAAATCTGTAATTATTATTTTTAAATTATAGGGAATGTACTTTTGTTTAATGAATGTCTGCTTAAGAACAACTTGTAAGGAATGTATCCCTTTAATAGAATGAAGAGATGCATATACTGTTTCCTTGTTTCTTCATGTGGGTGTGAATGTCACAGTTTCAGTCATCTGAATCATTAGGTTGCTTCATGTTTTTGTATGGTACAATCATTGTACTTAGCATACTGTTTCTAACATACTACTAATACCAAAATAGTTTTACTAATGCATTTGGATCATGTTTTTCCATGTCCTTTTTTTCTTTAAATCCTTTTTCCACTTCATTTGCTGCTTATCCTTTACCACATAACCTGTCATGCTTAATTTCTTCTTATTTGTTTTAAATCTTAATTTTTTTACATTTTTAATTTATGTTTTGTTTCTGTTTCATATTGATTGGTAAACTTGTTTTATTTGTTATGTTTATGTTGGTGTTCCTGTAGTCTTTGTGTAGCAGTTTGCTATCCCTGTCAGCCACTCCCACCACTCCACCACCTTCTGTAGGGACAAGCCTCGAGTCCCTAGGTGGTTCAGGTTCTTTGCGTCTTCCCTTGTGGGATAAAGCTTCAGCTGAATTTTGTTTTGCTCGTTCACGTGACCTCCTCACTAAGAACCCGTTTTGCTTGAAATCAGTTTTCTGTAGTGGAGAAGCATTTGGTGATAAAGTGATTGAATCTCAAGTGCCAAAGCATGAAGTGCCTCAGAATCCTGAAGAAACAGAACATGTTAATGATTATTATCAGGATTCTCATATTACTTGTTCTGATTTTGGTCAGTTAAATAAATTTCAATGTCCAGCAAGTAGTTCACTTTCCGTTAATAATTTCCATGCACAAAGTGATGTCATTCAAAGTAGACTTAGAGATTTTAAAGTAAAAGAAAGGAGTAACCATTTGAGAGTTTCAGGATCTATAATGGCACATGTTGAATCTGCACTAAATCTTCCTAAATATGAAAGATGTACTGAATCTGCTGTCAGTTTGATATGTAAAGAATTGCCTGATTCATATGACATTAGAACGTTAGTACCAAAGTCCCAAAATATACTAAAATACTTATATCCAGATGCTTCACCAAAATTGTCACTGAGTGGAAATTGTTTGGAAACTGATATTCATCATAATTCAAACAGAAATCATTTCTCACGTGCTGATGACATTTCAACTGAAGAATTGTCTCACCCTCTGAATGACTGTTCTCTTTTATCTGATGAAGACTGTGATTTACCCTCTGCAGCATGTTTTGAGAAAATTCTTCCCTTTTCTTATTCTAATAATGATTATGCCAAGCCACCGTCTCCCTCTACTGATGAGGCTGAAACAGTGATTTCATACCAGCACTGTACAGAATGTTCTGGTTCCCCTCCACCTTTCTCCTCGTTTCTAAATTCCCTCTCCCCTGGTTGTATGCCATGTGAGGACACCACTGCCACCTTCACTACATTTCTGCATGCTCGCTCTCAGCCATCCCAAAAACTGGTTGATGACAGGAATAATTCTCTACGGCCAGACAAACCAAAGACATGTGATGTACTTGTGTTTTGTGAATCCCCTGAACCTGAACTTGAAATCTGCACTTCATTCAACCTCACTTTCTCATCAGCTTGTACAAGTCCAGACTTGGCAGAATATCCTGAACTCGATAGAGACTTACAAGGTTTACCCTCAAGTCAGTAAATGATTTTACTAACCGTATAGCTTCTCAGGATTCCTCATTTTCTGAAATTGCATCATTTGTACTTATCATATGTGTCAGAGTTACGTTATTGAATTGTCTTATTTCCTTTATCCACTTTGTAGATATCTGCATAACTGGTATTGTTATAGTATATATATGTTTATGTAGGTAATTAGTCCATTTTATGGTTTACACAGTAGTACTGTTTCGTTTTTATTTTATTTGTTTTATTTAGTTTCCATTTTCCATTTTGTTTCTGCCCATTTTCTTCGCAGTCTTCACTGAGTGCCGAAGCAAAGGAAGTGTACAGCAGCCTTGTGGAGCAACCACTTCCTTCCCCTTCCATTCACCCTAACTCTCCTTCCCTTGATACAAATCCTCTGCGCATGCTCCGTTCTGGAGCATTCCCTGTTGTACGACCCAGGGTTCGAGGTAACAAACACAACAATGGAAATCAGCCACAACAGCAGCACCAGCCTAGTGATCCATTGCCATCAGCAACTACCAGTTCCAGAAATTTACCAAGGCTAAGAGTACCACCACCACCTTTAACGGCACCTCCCCCGATACCTACAGAAGCTCCTTGTTCATTTATAAGTGCACCTATGCCACTTTCAAAAAATCTGTCTACCAAAGTCGTTAACTCAGACCCTAAAGATTGTTCAGCTATTGAAGAAGTGAGTGACACAAATGGTGGTCATCATTTGAGTACCATAGGTACTTCCAAAAATCATCAAAATATCCATGAATCATCTGTAAGTTCAGAGGTTTCTGAAGATATTGGGGTTACTGGTGTCGATAATGCTGGTGAAGAAGAAGGAGAAATTATGGAGGGGAATCCAATTCCACTTCCTCCACGTGACAGATCACGTCCATTGCCTCCAACAAAGCCACGACATCAGCGTAAACACCCACTTATAATACCAGGAGGTGGAATTACACGGACACTAGCCAAGATGACCGACACAGAGACAGGAGTTACAGCTATAGAAGAAGTAACACAACAATACTTAGGACTGCAAACAGAACCTAAAATTATGTTGGAAGCATCAGAAGAAGATACCTCAGATAAAGCTAAATCACCACCTAGAACTTCCAGGTAATTTAAATGGATTCATTACTTGCTTGAGTCAGCCACATTCCTTTAATTTTAGCTGAGTTCATAAAAGCAAAGCATTCTGTGCTGAAGTATAGTATTTTGTTATGCACACTTACTATAAGACAGTTACATAATTTATTTCATCATGTCATACTTTTCAAATGGGTATTGACTCATCTGATATATATATAAATAACATAATTTTCAGAAATGGGAAATGAAGGAACATTTACCAAGTAAAGAGTGACATATACTCTGGAAATGGAAAATGCTAAAGAAGGGGAAAATGTGGCTATTTAAAAGTTACTGTATGCTTATGTTAATGTGTGGAATAGAAACTAGGACATAGACCAAGGCAAATACTAGTAGATTCATGACAGCAGATTTGAGAGGAAAGCTAGAATTAAAATGAATTAATTGCAATCTCATCTTATCTTTCAGTAGTCATATAATTTGAAAAAGACTGAAAGTTATGGAATATAATGAAAGTATATTGTTATGTATAGTTTGAGAAATTATGATTTTAAAGTAAGTATGTTTTCACTTCTTTTGAAGTTGTACTGGCGATTTGAGTAATTTTGTGCGTGTTATGTTCAGCCTTGATGACAGCTTTGAACAACATATTGCCTGCGAGTTGGCAGCACTGGATGATATCCCTGTAGATGCAGGATGTAGTACAGGGAGTGAGATGGTACGTCACAGCGATCATGTTTCTTGTGAAGATCTGCTTGAGTTTGCATGTGATACACCAAATGCTCGGCGAACTCAGGGCAAGGCCAGAGGAGTGGATTCTGATGAAGTCCGTATCATGGGGAAGGTGTTGGGATCTGAGGTAAGATGCACTGAAATGAGTTGGGATATCTCAGTCAGTACCAATAAGTGACTATGGGTTGAATGGTCAGGCTCCTGGCAGGAATAGAATTTTTCTCCTTGCCAATGTATCCAATTCAGCTCTGGAGCCTGTTCAGTGCATACTATAGGCTCTTTCCCAATGGGCAAGTGTCCAAAGCCTGATTATATTTGTCATTTCCAACATCTAGAATGTTTTAAAGTTTACCTCCATATCTCCTGTCAGCCATCATGGCTTTGCAGTTTTGATTATAGACTTTTTAATAAATAAGAAATGGGGTTCTCTGATACATTTCTTCCTTCCATTTTTATAATCAAAGAAATTTGTAAATATTCCTTCTGCTTATAGGTATCAGCTGAATGCTGTGTTGCTGCACTTAATGTCTCAAACTGGAATATTCATCAAGCCATCAAAGTGGCACGTTTACACGACCTCCTGCAAGCCACTGCTGATAATGTAGACGTCAACATAGACTTCATAGCGTGCAACGAAGCTCTGGAGGCTTGCAACTGGGATGTAGCTCAGGCAGCAAGCTGGGTGCTGGCCCAGGAGCAAGGAGACACCACCCAAGTCTGAATGTATAGTTTGTTTGTATGAGGTTTGATGGAAATGTTCCAGAATTGAATTTTTTGTAAAATGAATGATATAGTAGTGTATATTGATCAAGGGAAATAGTTGGCAAGTCTTGCAGAATTTACCCCTCTGGTTGAAGCAAGCTGCTATGTTTTGTGCAGTTGTATTTATTGAACATGTCTTGTGACATGAAAAAATATGTGCTTCAGATTATATATGAAACTTTTATGACAGGCACAGAAACTTCTTGGTTGACAGAATTGTATTTCTAAATGAAACTCACATGTATGAAGTTGCTGCAGAAATTGGTGTCTGTTGTTTGCAAGTCGAGGTGTGGGTATGAGGAGAGACTTCGCACAGTTTATTCTACAGACCACGATGATGCATCAGCTTATTCAGCACTCAGCATAAGGAAATTGGTAATTTGTAGTCAAACATTACACTGATCCCCTGTTGACTGAATTTGTCAGGTTTGGCACAAAGTGTCTTTTCTGTTCCTCAAAAATAGCACTTTTAAGAGAGAATATTCTGAAAAACCTGGAAATCACGCAAAGTACGGTCCATGGATTGAAGAACATTCTGAAAAGAGAATACAAGAAGTGCTTCAATAAATATCAGCACTACTGAAATGATTGTTTACATTCACCATGAGACTATTTGAAGTGGCATTCAGTAACTCCCATGTACTTTAATTTTTCCCCAGAAAATCAGTTCTGGAACAGTTTGATCAACCTGAGAATCTCTCAGTACAGTATTTGTTAGAAGTGTTGGTGATCTTAAATGAATATTGATCAGGTTTAGAATGGCTGGTTGATTGATTCTTGAATTATGCACCATTGGATGGTGGAATTGTTATATAAATGATGAATTGGAAAGGATGTGGAAGGAAGCAGCCATGGCCTATACCAACATTTGCCTAAAGGATCCTGAGAAAACCATGAAAAACCTCAGATTAGCCATTCACTGGGCTCAGATTCCAGCCCACATACTCTGGAATATGAAATAGTAGTTATAATCACTTGACATAATTTTCACTGGTTAGGTTTTGCTGTGTGGTAATGTGTGGCATCGTTAAATAACTGCCAAACTGTGAGTGGAACGTTTTGCATTTTCAGGATCCAAATCTAGCTACAAAGATTGTGTGCATTTCTTACATTGTTTGTTCCATAATTAAATAATTTATGAGTAGATGTGAAATTTTGCTTGAAAGAAATTTATTTATTAGCCATTTTAAATGTCATTTCACTGAAAGGAATTGGGCAATGCATAAACAACATGACAAGAATTTATATGTTATATTTGAATTTTATGGGATGAAATACATATTTTATTTTATATTTCCAATTACATTTTGTTATAAAATTAAGAATATAAATGAAAAATAATGAAGAGAGTTCTAATTTGTGACCAAAGATTTGATCGCTGGTTTTGGTAGTGTTACCGTAAAGACCATCCCACAGTTAAGTAATCAAAATTGATAACTTTGTATGCTTCCAATTTTTATTGTAAAAATATTTTGAGATTTAAGAGTTAGTATCCTTGCACTTAAATATTGTCTGAAATTGAAGTGGTTTGGTATATAGGACCACTAACATAGTAATGTTGATTTAGTAATAATCAAAACATTTGAATTGTGTGTACCTATTATCTGTGCAAAATAGTGTTTTAGGGGAAAGTAGTATGAGGATGTGCCTCTGTCTTGGTCATTTGCAATTCTGTTAGGATATATATTACATAGGAACAGGCTTTCAAAGGTACTGATGTGTGGTAGGTGTATTTGAAGTAAATGCAGAGGTTCATGTGATTACACTTTGCTAATTGCTAATAATAATTTGGGAACATAAAACACGAAGTGTTGATACTTATTCATATTCATCCTACCATTTACATAAATTAATCAGATGCTCAAATTATTTTGCTATGCTTTATGCCTTTGTATGAGAATTTTGCATAAAATATAATTTTTCACATTTTGTAGATATCTTTTTATATGTGTATATTTATATATTATAATACTTGAAATATTCATACTGATTTGTAACTTAAAAAGGAAAATATATAATTATACAAATTATGTGAATAATTGTCATTATCAATTGTTATACAATTCCCTATTTTACTATACAGATAGAATGAAGTCTTCTCTGTATACCTCCCCCCCCCCTTACCAGAATTATAATTATGTATGTGCTCCGATTGATCTTGTGAGAATCAGTTGGTCATGCCAATGTATGAAAGTGACAAATAGAAAGTATGTACATATTTTATGAGCACACCCTCCAAATGCCATCCCAGAGATTCAGTTGAGTGCAGACTGATGACATCCATTTCAAGGTGAGGACATTGTCAAAGATTTACCAAAAACACTGAACAGTAATTGTTATTACTTGGAGCCTGCAAGTGTGATGAATTCTATGCATGTATTGGTACGTATCAGGCTACAATGTTTGGTGCAATCGCATTAGCCTTAAAAAAAATTCTGCTTTTATTTTTTCAAGTGTAGGTTATTGAAGGTGTGCTTCGGCTCAAAAAGGCACTACATAAAATATATGAGCAAACATCTGTTCGCTGTAATACGTTCTGAAAAATTACATTTGTATTAATCGTGGCCGATTCTACATGTCTTCTACCCCGCGACTTTGTTGTTTTCGTGCGTCTTAATTATAATAATTATTACGTAACCGGGTTTACGCTTCGTGTGGCATGACATCCACACAAAATTTCAATAATCTCTGACCGCCCATTCCATGTTCACAAAATTCGTGCTCAGGACGCCACTCTCTGCAGACTCAGGTTGCTGCGTCTTGGGTGAGTTGGGTTAGGTTAGTTTAGGAGAGTGGGGCATCTGCGCACTGACGTCATATAACTTGTGCGCGTGAGGGCACAGTGTGTTCCTTATTATCGACTGCGGAATTTTAAACACTCAAATATTTGAAATGGAAGCTGGAGAGTAGTTTACGTTCTTACCGACGTTTGTTCTGTGTCGTCGCCGTTGTGTTTACTTGTGAATCACCCGCAGGTCGCAGCACAATATGTACGGTGTTACGTTGCCCACGAAAAAATTGTAAGTATTCGTTACTTAATCTGTTTTTTAAACTGTGAAAAAAAAGTAGTAGTTTGGAGATTATTATAAGTGGTGTGGACAGACTGTAGATTTTTGTACTGTTTTAATTCCAGATTTCAATGCACCACATTACACACATTTCTCTGAGGTAACTTATTTTAAAATTGACGTATGCTAGGTTGTGCCGTGTATTTGGGTAGAAATTTGTCGACGTTTCAGAGATGCTTTCTCTCTCTATCAATAGGGCGGTGACCCCAAAGCATTATGCCCTCCTTTTGATTCGCTGTTAATGCTGATCATGTTTGTTGTTGGTGCTGAGAGAAAGTGGTCTTGTTGCCGACCTTACGGGGATGCTGCCTCCATCCTCAGGTTTGAAGTATGTAGTATGGGAATACAGTTTGTTTATTCATATATGTGTGTAAGTCTGCCCCTGTACATGAGAACAAGTAAAAACCCAATCAGGCCCTAATAGCATACAGTTATACCCATGCATGAATCCTATTGGATCGGACAGAGCTTTAGTCCTTCCCCTCAACCATGGATCTGGGGTCATGATACTTGCTTATTTATATTCTTTGACTGTATCCCCATCCTACACATTTCACCCCTAAAAGGTGGAGGGAGCATGTTCCTCCAAAAAGACATGCCTCACAACCTGCTTACACAAGGTACCAACATCCAGAAACAGGATAAATGTAGTCCTCTGGTGTTGAATATTTAGTTTATGTTTCAGATACATGTGATACAACTATATTAATGAATAAATAAAAATATACATAATATCACTTCAGATTTACCATGGCTATGTAATTTAGTAACTCTATTTTTACAGATTGTTCTCTTTTATTGTTCCTTTTCAATGGTTCTGGAATTTTGGAATAGCAGAAAATGTACACATGACAAAGGTGTTTATACTGCCAATTGAACCAGGAATGTTCAATTGGACCTTGCAAGGTATGGAGAAAATTAGGTGAAAATGCATTTAGACCTGTATGATAATGATAATGTATGCTGCTTTTTATGTATCCTGTTTATCACCCACACCTTCTATGGGAAACAGTGTTACAAATTCTGTAATTATATGTGTTTTGTTTATCTTCATTGTGTAAAACAGTAAATACAAGATCAGTGGGGTAGGATTGTTTGACAGGTTTAAGAGAAAAGCAAAATGAAAATTTATGTATTTGTCTTCATTTACAGGTGTATCACATCAGTTTTCTTATCGGCCTTCACTGCTAAATGCACCAGATCTGCCTCCATGGATCCACTATGTATATAGTGATAGGCATCAGACAGGTTTTCTGTATGGTGTGCCGCCTCAGCAGCATGGTGATTTAGAGGTTAGAGTCTCATTTATGTTTGTTGTATCATACATAAGATGTCTCTGAGAAGAAACTAGTTGCTAGAATTGTAGGTAGAAATTGTCTATTGGAAACTTAATAAATTAGAAGATTCAGATAGTTCTGATTCATTAGAAACTGCAATGATTGACAGTTTGTTTCCTGTAATGTTTTATAGTGCCAGTTAGCCATTAGTTAAAATCATAATGTGCAGTACTCATCTCATACATGATTATAATAATCCATATAAAAGCCTAACCATACCCATGTACAATAATACATTTATGTATCTACTTCCTCTGTTTAATACAGTTTTAAAATATGTTCATTTTATTAGTATAATGAAACTCATCACCACCAACTCAACATTGCCATTGTCACCAGTCAAGGAGTAAGACCCTTGTTGATCTGTTCTGCCCTGAGTTGTATAACTCTCGTCAGACATTATCCTTCATTCTATATCTCTATTGGTCTCTACTTCATTAAAATTCCCCTCCACTCCATCAGTGTGACAAATTAAAATGTCTTTAGTACTCTCTAAAAACTGCAGTGATTGATGAGGTAGCAAATTAAATAATGTATAGGTGGTTGTAATTAATGCTAAAACTTAATGCACATAATAAATGTTTGAGAATTTTAACAATATTTGTTTCTGAATTTTCAGTTGGAGATTGTTGGATTAAATCGGGACAACTATGAGACTCGCCGAAGAGTGGTTCAAATAAATGTTCAAGAGAAACCAGGCAAGGAAATTGCCTTAATGAATTTTTTTCTGCCCTTCTTTTAATTCAAACACGGTAGGCTCAGATGAGCCGGGATAGCTCAGTCAGTATAGTGACTAGCTACGGGGTTCGATCCCCGACGGGAGCAGAGGATTTTTCCTCTAGCCTCTGCGTCCAGACCGGCTCTGGGGCCCACCCAGCCTCCTCTACAATGGG